GTGATGTTCGACCTGGAGGAGAGCAAGTACCAGCAGGCGGAGTGGAGGTAAATGAGGGGATGATTTTAGAGTTTAAGGATTTTGAGATTATTTTTTGTTTCGTTTTCAGGCTCTCCATCTACGGCCGCAAAAAGTCCGAGTGGGACGACCTGGCGAAGTGGGCGCTGATGAACAACGTCTACTCGGACACGGTGCGCTGGGTGATACAGATTCCCCGACTCTAGTGAGTGCCTTTTTGAGGAGTCTTTTTGGGATGATTTTGATGATAACTTTCTTTTTCCCCTTCTACTCCAGCGACGTCTACCGCGCCAACAACATCGTCGAGAACTTTGAGCAGATGCTGGAGAACCTCTTTCTGCCCCTGTTTGAGGTGACCAACAACCCGAACTCGCACCCGGAGCTGCACGTCTTCCTCCACTACGTCATTGGCTTCGACTCGGTGGACGACGAGTCGAAGCACGAGAATCCAATGTTCGACAAGGACATTCCCATGCCGCATCGGTGGTCGCACGAGGAGAACCCTCCATAGTAAGTGCTTCGAGGAGGTGCTTTTTTTAATGATTTTGACTGATTGACTGATTTTCTTTCCTCTCTTCCTCCTCCTCCTTAGCAACTACTACCTGTACTACATGTACGCGAACATGGTGACGCTGAATCACTTTCGCCGCGACCGCGGCTTCAACACCTTCGTCCTGCGGCCGCATTGCGGTGAGGCGGGCAACATTCAGCACCTGATCGGCGGGTTCCTCCTCGCGGAGAACATCAGCCACGGGCTGCTGCTGCGCAAGGTGCCGGTGCTGCAGTACCTCTACTACCTGGCGCAGATTGGCATCGCCATGTCGCCGCTGAGCAACAACTCGCTCTTTCTCAACTACCACCGCAATCCGCTGCCGGAGTTTCTCAGTCGCGGGTTGATGGTCAGCCTCAGTACGGATGATCCGCTGCAGTTTCACTTTACCAAGGTTTGGTGGTGGTGGTTCTAGGAGGTTTTTATCTTGTGTTTAACTTTTTAAACCTTTTTCCCCGTTTCCTTCTAGGAACCCCTCATGGAGGAGTACTCCATCGCCGCGCAGGTGTGGAAACTGAGCAGCTGCGACATGTCGGAGCTGGCCCGGAACTCNAGGTTTTTATCTTGTGTTTAACTTTTTAAACCTTTTTCCCCGTTTCCTTCTAGGAACCCCTCATGGAGGAGTACTCCATCGCCGCGCAGGTGTGGAAACTGAGCAGCTGCGACATGTCGGAGCTGGCCCGGAACTCCGTTCTGATGTCGGGCTTCCCCCATGAGTTTAAGCAGCACTGGATCGGCGCCAACTACGCGCGCGAGGGCGTCGAGGGCAATGACATTCAGCGGACGAATCTGCCCGGCATTCGCGTCAGCTTCCGCTACGAGTCGCTGCTGGACGAGCTGAATCACCTGCACGACAGTGCCCACCACCCGCAGCTGCTGACGGCGGCGCTGAAGAAGGAGGCGGGCGTGGCTGCTGCGGCTGCTGCTTCAGCTGCTGCTGCTGCTACTTCGGCTGATAAGACGGCGGCTGATAAGGAGAAGGTGGCTGCCACTAATGGGCTGCCTAATGTCAATGGAACCGGCGGAGGAGGTGGTGGTGGTCCGTCGAAGCCGTAATTACTTTGTTGTGTTCGTTTCCTCTGAGGTGTCCTCTGATGATTCCGCCGATGCTCTCCATCAAACACATTTTTTCCCCTTCCCTTTCCTCACATCCTTTTCCTCCTCCTCCTCCTGATGATGGTAGTGATGATGATGATGGTGGTGTGGTAGTGATTCTCCATCCCAACTGTATAATTTAACTTTTTGGTATTAAACACAGGGCAATGTGCTGTGCT